TTTGATTGGTGTAGCCAAATAAGTTGCTTCTGCAAAATAAAATGTAACGCCTCAGAGTGTGTATGCTTTCATCTGGAAATTCAAAAAATGCAAGGTCTCTAAGCAGCTGCTTGTCCAAATTACACCCCACTCACAGGGGCTGCTGGGTAAATTAAGTTGTAGTGTAATCTAACTATACTTTCCATTGCTCTACACTCAAGATAACAAGATATTTAATTTAAGACTCTAATATGCATGTAACTAGAGTGATCTTAGTGAACAGATGGTTGAAATATTCTCACAGGTCTACATCTATCTGCACTCCAAACTCTGGTTTGCTGCTCTGTCGAATGTGCGCTGCTCTCTATAAAGCTGAAAATGAAGCAAACCGCTTTAGCTCTTTCTTTCTCACACACACACTCAGAGCCACACACTGATTTTCTGGGTCCGTGCCAGAGGAAAGCATGTGTGGCAATGTCTGCTTATCCAGTCCTCAGGCATTACCAGCTGTAGCTCCCTCCAGTTAATGACACGAGGCTAAGATATTTTTTCAAATATAGGGTTTATTTTCGTAGTTAAACGATCTATTCCAACCCGTGAGAACTGGGTTAAAACACAGACAAATACAAAAGGTGAGAAACAAACAAATATGTAATATATGCATGCTAACCCACACGATAAACGGCACACACACGCGCGCACGCACACACACACACACACACACACACACACACACACACACACACACACACACACACACACACACACACACACACACACACACACACACACACACACACACACACACACACACACACACACACACACACACACACACACACACACACACACACACACACACACACACACACACTGCAGCTCAACCACACACAACCAGCAAAAAACGTACCTCGTAGGCGGCTAGTCACCTATAGAGGGGCTGATAAACTTTGGCTGCATCCTTTCCCTTAGTTTCCTTTAACATCCTGCGTTGCTCTGCAGTTCTGTTTAACACTTACGGCGATTAATAAAACAAGTGTAACACAACACACCGCAGATTAGCTCCAAATGAACAACAGAAAATGAAGACAGAAAGGATTTCTCTTTACACTTTTGTCACCATATGCGTGTTTTTACAACCGAATAACAGTCCTAATACATGTCCATCAGTTCCTTAGTAGAAATAACACAATAACAAATTATTTACTTATATACTTTACACCATCACACACATTTAACATTATGTTGACTATATTTTCTACTCATGACTTCCACTCTCATCAATAAACCTAATGGCAAAAGTAGCCCTCCATGTATTTCTCTGTTAAACAATGCTTTAGCGAAACAATGAAACAAATAAAGTTTGATAAAGTACCTGAAAGGTCATTTAGTATTGAATTATGCATGAAAAGGCTTGCAACAGCTGGGCAGCTATACAAGAGTTTGTGGAACGCTGTTGTGTGTCACATGTTTTTTGATGCTATGGCAGCGCAGTGGAACAAAGGGGTCATTTTATAGGTCAGACATTTTATATTTTAGAAAAAATGGTGATTGCCACTCAAAAATAAAACATGGCTCTCACAGCAGGGTGATAGTTGTCTGAATATTGTAAAGCTTGTGTAAGGCAAGCTGAAATGTCAACATTCCAAATATGCTGCACTCTTTGATGTGTTAGAGATGACTCAGTTAGATGCATAAATGTCAAATCAAATTATCAGAAATATCAGAAAACTTTTATTGGCACTCATCTGTGATTGCTTGATTTAAAATGCCTTTGTGGAAAAAAGTTTGGAGGGTTTTTATGACTAACTTCCTATGAGAAGTTGATTAAAAAACTTCAGAAACTGTCGAGTTTATACAAAAATAATCAAAAGAAGACCTTTCATACATGTATGTTCATTAACTTTCATTGCATGATGGATGATTCAAGTTCCACTTTCTAATTTCAACCGAATGCAATAACAGCCATGATTAAAATGATCTCCATCAAAATAGGCTTTGATTATCAAGTGCAGTTCTTTGAGGAAGTTTAAAAAGCACTTATAAATCTTTTAATGATGCAAAATGTTATCAGTTAGTTAAACTAAAAATATCGGCACATAAATGCATATTTTTGTGGTCGAAACGCATAAAAGCAAGTTTATAAAAAATGCTGCAAAAACAAACTAGCAAGCCTTTTAAAAGAACTAGAAGAAAAGTAGTAAATCGTTTTGTTAAATAAGGCTGTAGCCTCAAGGTTGAACTCAAACACAAACTGTCTTAACCGTGATTTATGTGCATCTACCTTCATTGCATAATGCAGTGATTGAAATGAGACACAAGCCCACACACACAAAGCATTTGATAATGAACAATCCAGACCAACAAGATATCTATTTAACGTGTTAAAGGAACCCTTAAATGAGAATCTTCTTTTGTTCTTTCCCCATGGCCCACAGTCCTTTTAATAATGGAAAACACTGGAAAGAAGGAACACTATTAGTTTTTTAAGTCTCATCGGGCTATAATTTAAAATGCTATGCTGCATTTGCCATAACCCCTCGCATACACACATTTAATCATGGTCTTTTCAGTCAGACAACTCACGTGTTTCTTAATATGTTTATTAGAAGCAGCATATAGTTTGAGTTTGGCGTCTAGGCTCGGGCCTCATCACTCCACAGATTTACAAAGAACATTAAGTGATGATTAGATAACTATCCCCTGAGCCTAAAGGTGGATGCTGGGGTGGAAGCTGGGGTGGAAGCTGCGGTGGAAGCTGGGGTGGAAGCTGGGGTGGAAGCTGGGGTGGAAGCTGGGGTGGAAGCTGGGGTGGAAGCTGGGGTGGAAGCTGGGGTGGAAGCTGGGGTGGAAGCTGGGGTGGAAGCTGGGGTGGAAGCTGGGGTGGTGGTGGGGCAGGAACATGAAACACAGCAGCAGGAACATGAACATGAACGTAGCAATAGCAAGTGAACACAGCAGTGGCAGCAGCAGCATAGCGAGGCAGAGGCAGGAAGACCTGGCAGCTTAAATAGAGCGGCAAGTTAAGGAGAATGTGTTTGGTTGGTTGTAAGAGGGACGAGACGCGCCACGTGTTAATGTATCATTGGTGCTCGAGTTGACTTCCTGAACTAGCTCGCAGGCTTCGCCCCATTTTGTATTTCATTTTAAAATGTTGGTGCTTACTGATAGAGACACATGTTTTATCAGTCTTATTATGGGGATATTTTCTACATGGATGCTTCAGCTGCCACTCTCAAGCCCTTGGATGCTCTGATAATTATAATACTCATCACTGTAAGCCCTTCGCTAAGGGTGGATGACCCTCTCTCTCTCTCTGTAAGCAATGATTGACCCGTTTTTTTTCATTTAATTATAAAGGCCATTACTGTTTTTTGACCCCCTTACATTACTTATTTTCTTTCAATGCAGGTCCCTTGAGAGTTTCCTGTCATTATGCTGCATGTTATTCCAAGCAGGGGCACAGGGAATAACATAGCTGCATTATCTAACACAACATGTATCCTGAGTGCAATTTAAATGTTTAATTTAATGATTTTTCCCTTCCAGTTATCCTGATTGAAGTTGATTCATCTGCCTTACATGTGGTATACTTTATTTATAATGAATGTTTAATATTTGTGCTTCTTGGTGCGTAGGATTTTTTGTTTATTATCGTTTTTACTACTAATAAATGAACATAACCAGGCTCGACAGTATATCATGGACTTTCTGCATTACCACACCATAAGCTGTGCTCCAAGATCCTCTACTTAGGGTTTTTAAAATGTACCACGACACATTTAAAGACTTGGGGAGAGCCTGCTTTCCAGTCGGCAGAACCTAAGCATTGGGATAGTGTACTAACTATAGAAAGAAGGTATTTGGACTCTGTTGACCAAAGAAACCCAGCTGATCAAACAGGCATTTAGATTAATGTGTGTGTTAAGTCAGGTACCATGAATATTCAGTTTTTCTGATTTTTGTATGCACTTGATTAGATTTGATTTGATTGTGAAGCACTCTGTGAGCCGTGAAGGTTGCTGTATAAATGAATTCTGTTTGCTTTCTGGTGACATTAACTTTACATCTCAGTAAAGTTAACACTACCAAAAGCTTAGAAGATAAAGTGAAGGTTTGGGTGGTGAACAAGGCAAAACCTAATGCCACGAAGCTAAACCGAGAGGGAACAAAAAACAACAGGACTTATACAAACAATCTGGCGAGGGGATGAAGTGCAGATGGAAAGATGGAGAAGCCCAGGTGAGAGGTATGAGGAAATTAGGCAGGAGCAAATTTACAGAGCTGTGGGAGCAGGGAAGGACTAACAAGGCTGATACAGAGCAGGTGTGAAGATGGGCGAACGAGGAGAAACAACACCTTCATCTTCATTGCAGTTTACTGAGTAACAGTTCTTGTTGACTGTTTCTCTTTTGAACAGAGCTGTGATATAAATGTGTTGTTTCGTTAGCTGTTAGCTCTCTCAGCCAAACCCAGGAGTGAGGAGCCAGCAGTCGATGATGGTGTGAACAGTCGATAGAAATAGCTTATTTTTAACTTATGAATCAACGCAACAACACATTTATAATATTGATAAAAATACAGAGAACATAAATCATAGTCCACAACTCATTCCAGCCTAATAAAAAGTCTAGCTTTCTGGAACAAATGCAAGCTTTAAGCTATGAATGTATACAACTGTATTATAGAGTACAGTATATGGGTACTATATGGATTCTGACATCCCAACACAAACAGCATGTCATTGCAAAACATGTCGAAGCTGTTTTACATGTGCACATACTGTATGAGCACTTTAAATGTTAATTCATCAAAAGTGTTGCCACTAAGCATTCTATCAGGAGGCAAATCAATGTGTTGAGATGAGAAGATGAGGCGTGAAGCCATTAGAGTGGAATTAGAGGAACAGCATAATGATGGTGTTGCCTGCATAATGAAGCACACGACTCATCACACAATCAGGGAGAAGGTTTTACTTTGAATGTACTTAAGAGACTGCTTCTCTGTGTCTTCCTCTCCAGGTAATGTGTTCGTGGTGAGTTTGGCCTTTGCTGACCTTGTGGTAGCTTTCTACCCCTACCCCATGGTTCTCTATGCTCTCTTCCACGATGGATGGTCAGTGGGGAACACACAATGCATGGTAAGATCACATTAGTAACAGCATGTTTCCATTCACTACCAATAAAAAGCAATTAAACCTTATACCAGCGGTGTCCAAACTTTTTTCACGAGGGCCACATACAGAAAAATATACGAAGGTCTCGGCCCCTCACTAGAGGTATATCGCCTCATAAGTTCAGTTATAAGTTGGAAAAATCAATCCAATGATTCTTGATACTTGAAAATGCTGTACATCCCAGCTCTCCATAGGGTTTTATTTATTTTGTTAGCAGCTCATCCAAGCTTCAGATTGCTTATAATAAAAGGAAATATGAAGGGTATATTTCAAGGTTGTTATGTAAATGTATTATTGGCACACAAATGTTTTCAACTTTAAAGGTGGGGTAGGTAATTTTGGAGAAACTAGCTCGAGTGCGCTAGAATTTGAAAATACACAGCCGGAAAAAATCTGCCACTTCCTTACAGAGCCCCTCCTCCAACACACCCGAAAAAATTGGGCTTATTAACACTTGAATACTGTGTAATATATTTGAACATATCGTACAATATAAGACAAGCAGAAGTTTATTATACTTCATAGTCATTATACTTTTTGAATTTGCTGAGGGCCGATTCAAAATGGTCCGTGGTCCGCATTTGGCCCCCGGGCCGTAGTTTGGACACCCCTGCCTTATACACTGACACATTTCTTTCTTTCTTTCTGTTCAGGTCAGCGGTTTCGTTATGGGGCTGAGTGTCATTGGCTCCATTTTCAACATCACTGGGATTGCAGTGAACAGATACTGCTACATCTGTCACTCATTCTCCTACAGTCGGCTGTACAGCTATCGCAACACTCTGCTGTTTGTTGCCTTAATTTGGGTTCTCACAGTCGTGGCCATAATCCCAAACTTCTTCGTCGGCTCCCTGCGCTACGACCCGAGGGTTTACTCCTGCACCTTCGACCAGAATGTCAGCAGCTCCTACACAGTGACCGTGGTGGTGGTTCACTTCCTGGTTCCCATTGCAGTGGTTACATTCTGTTATCTACGCATCTGGGTACTTGTGATTCAGGTCAGTCTAATGCTTCTCTCTGTGGTTATTAATGTCTTTGCCACCAGATAGAAAGTTTTACGGTTTCAATATCAGGTCTAAAACCACCAGACTCGGGGACAGTTTCATTCCAGAGGCCTTAAGACTGTTAAACACCTGAACTTTTGAAAGAACATCCATAAAATGTATCTGTTTGCAACTCACACATTATTTATCTAATATATCATATTCCAATTACTTGTATATAGACTCTTCTTGCACTATTTCTATTCTATTATAATTGTATTTACTTGCACTACTTATCTGTTGTATTGTGTTACACTGTTGGAGGAGCCTGTGACCTAAGATTTTCATTGACATATCTACACTGTAGCTATGTACAAATGACAATAAAAGCTGTGGATCCTTGAATCCTTGAATCATACTAACAGGTAAGAAAACACACCCTTGGGCCAAACAATGATACAAGGTTTCAGTTCCAAATTGGACTGAAACATAATAAAATATGGTGGTCACTCCCAGGTTTAAAATGTTGACTTTTAATTATTGACCCTCTACTGTTTGAGTAAATACTGAACAAAATTAATCATACCATCATAGAAATCCGTAATGCCATATAACAGGAGTTGAGCAAAGTGATTAGCTGGGATATCATGATTGACAAGCACATTAGATTAGATTTGGCAGACCTCTGGAGTAATATCTCAAAGTCAAAGTCAACTTTATTGTCAATCTTTCAGTTTGTGTGTACAGACAGAGAGATCGAAATACCGTTTCCCACAATCCCGAATACAAAAATACAAATATATATAAAAATATGTATGCAAATGTGTATATACCTATTTATATACACAATCAACAGACACATGTATACATATACACACATTAAGACATAAATAAAAGCACAACAATCAATATATACAAAATAACAGTCACTTCAATATCTTTGGGTAATGTACATTAGTGCAACATTGTTCATAGCAGCGTATCTGTTTGAGTTCAAGACAGTATTTTTGTATGACTGTAACAAAGAGAGCCAGAGCACGGTAGCCTTTCATTAACAGTCCAATTCCTATCTTGTGTGTTTTCACCAGGTGCGACGCAAAGTGAAATCAGAGGAGAGTCCTCGCATCAGACCGAGTGACGTGCGGAATTTCATCACCATGTTTGTGGTCTTCGTGCTGTTTGCCATCTGCTGGGCTCCACTTAACCTGATTGGCTTGGCGGTGGCCATCGATCCGTCTCGTGTGGTTCCCCGGATCCCAGAATGGCTTTTTGTGGTCAGCTACTTCATGGCCTACTTTAACAGTTGTCTGAATGCCATCATCTATGGCTTACTCAACCGGAATTTCAGGAACGAGTACAAACGCATTGTCACATCAAACTGGGTGGTTCGGCTCTTTGTGACGGAGACTTCGCGAGGCGCCACGGACGGCAGGAGCGTGAGGAGCAAGCAGTCGCCGCCTCAACCAATCAACAACAACGACTCTGCCAGAGATCGTTCCAACAAAGAATGACATCTAAATCTATGAGCCTGTTAAATGGTAATCCCTGTTTTTATGTGACATCCAGTCAGTGGTGCAGCTAAAGTGTCACAGATGAAACATGCATACCGTAGCTTGGTTTCAGTTAAATGACATTGATCAGAATAAAGTGCAGGGTAACTTGTCAAAAAGTGTTTCAATCAAAGTATTGGAGAATCATGTAATGATTTATTTTAGTTTTTGGTTTGAGTGAGCATTTCACTCAACAGCTTTGCTAAAGTGCGAAACAGGGTTGAGTTTCCACTACAAAGTATTAACAGATGCTTTGTCCTGGTAGAACAGAGCCAAGCATTGCAGTTTCATACTCGTACATCTCAAAACAATATGAATGGTACATTAATAATTCACAAAAATGTAACATCCTTTATTGTCTGCTGGTGTGGACCCGGGGTAACCACTGGTAAACATATAGGCCTACTACTGTTCAGTAACTTCAAAAGCCTCAAATAACTTGCCTCAACTGAATGCTAGAGTCGTAGAATAGGAGATAATGTCTTTGTGTACATAATCAGTATGATGTGGTGACAGTAATGTAACGTTTTTGCACTGAAATAAATGAAAAACACAAACTTAGTAATGAACATAAAACATAATTCAGGAAATTAGCAACAACTCATGCACAAAGCTAGAACCACACAATATAAGATGTGCCAATTAACATGGCTGTTTTTAGTTTTCAGTTCCAAAACAAATGTGGAGGAAACCCACATATCTGCTGCCGCTGTATCGATTGCTTCTACAAATACTTCACAACTGCTTTGGTTAGAAAATAAAAATGTATCGCGGTACCATTTAATGAAATGTAACTGGGAGCTGCATGTAAATACTCGCCTCATAGTATTTCTGTATGTGGCAAAAAGAAATTCTGAAAAGAATACCCATCTGTTTCCCTGAAGGCTTAATTTGATATTACAATAAATTAATTTCTCTAATGTTTTTCCCCTAAAATATTACAATAAGTCACAATTACATTATATTGACTCCTAATTCTCTAATGTTCTGTTATATCAGTGCAATATGAGTTTATAAAGAGCACAAAAACATCTCAACATATTTCATCATGTGTAGTTAAAGCCAAATGTATATAGCTTGTAGCGTTACACACTAAATACAAATATATAAATATTTAAAAAAGAATAAATTGTGATGAAAACTACAAAACTGTGGAGATAGGGCTATTAAAACAAAGGAACTCAATACATATATATTCAGTCTTAACCTATTAATTTACTATTTAATTTAGAGAATATCAGTGGTGGTACGAAAGTACATTTCCTCAAGTACTGTGCTGAAATTGATTTATTAGGTATTTTTAATGAAGGGCTTTAAGTTTATTTTGATGCTAATACTCTGTAGTATCACATACAGTTAGTACTTCTTTCCCCACTGTAGAAAACCCACAGTGCGGACCACAACTCCATACACTGATGGCAACATATTAACAACATCGTAGTACAATTTTCCAAGAATAGCCAAGTACTATGAATTATAGTATGTGCACAAGAACACTTTGCTATGCAATTTGAAACAAAGTGGTCCTGATTCAACATCAGTTGCAACTAAAACCCTTATCCAGTTGAAAATATTCCTTCACCTTACTATATTTATTTATTTGACTGATTCAGTGCGTAATGATGCTGCACTTTAGGCAAACTAAAGGACTGAAATACACAGCAAGTTCAGGATGATCTCCTTCCTTCTTTGTTTGAAAAGCTCCAGCACCTTGAAAAAGGAAAGCTGGTAAAAACATTTACTGAATGTGCAGCGAGTTATAAAGGAGCGAAGGTCCCTCTGGCTACTGCATCATGCTGTATGCAAAATGTGTTCAATTATTTGTCTTTATTCTGAAGTACTTATGCAACATTTTAGCTTTTCATTTCATAGGTAATGTGTTTTCGTAGTTAATAAAACAAACCTTATTCATCAGGGCCACATTTTGATGCTTTTAACGTGGAAAAAACAACAAAAATAGCACAGCTATGGATGTATTGTGGAGTTGTACTGTCACTTGGTGGTAAATAAACTGACAGAAGAGTGACATTCATTGCCTCTCAACTGAACAGCGCGTTGAAAGATGTAAATTGTTGAGAAGTTACTGCTCATATCTGTATTTCCATCTCAGGGTGCCTACTGAACATGTTGTCGTGCTACACAGTTTTTTGGCCATATAATGTCAAAAGACATTTCAAATTTGTATTACTGTCAGTGTGGTATTTAACTGTGGTATATTGTTATGGAGATGTCTTTGAAATTGTAATATATGTGTCTGAAGCTCAATAACCGAACAGATTAACAGTGTATTACCGTTTAATGCTCTCTTTTTCAACTGCAAAATGCATCAAAAACAACCTCTTGCTTAATGGGAATGTACATTGCTTTACCACAAACATTTGTATTCCAGTGTGGCTTGATTAAATCAATTTATAATTGCAAATTATAGTCTGAATAATATTTTTTTATAATAGAATCATAAGTATATTACTTTCATTAGAACCTAAAAATAATTTATACAAATATCATATACATTTAAAAAAACAAACAAATGAAGTTCCTCACAATAATGTTTTTTTTGGGGTTGAATTTTTCACATTTGAAATGATAACACGTCTGTGTGTTCTTATACAGGGTACACATGTGCAAAGCCATAGATCAACAATGGTAACACATGGAGAGTTTGAATTGAAAGAAAAATATGAATATTTGGAAGCACCTATTTGACCCTTGCGGTGCAGAGGAGGGCAAGGGTACATAGAGTCTTTGCTAAAGATATAAGAATGAGATAATTATAAAGATTTAGTTAACTCTATGGCGACACAATGCTGTCCTGATAAGGAAAGGTGAGAAGGTCACTCGGGAAGTGGGAGTTGTGTCAAGGTTACTGCAGTGTAGAAAGAGCTTAACAGCAAACACTTAAAGGTCCCCTATTGTACTGTTTTTCATCAATATATTATAGGTCTCAGTTATATACAAAACATGTCTCTGAAGTGTTTGGCTCCAAATACCAAACAGATCATTGCAGCATCCCATAATCCCCTCTGTTTCAGCCCTGTTTCAAAAGGGCTGATTCTCTGGGTGCTTCTCAATGTCGAGGAAGGCTGCTCCAGAGCCACTATTTCAAGGATACTTTGTCATCGAGTCCCGCCGAAGGACTGTTCCAATGTCCAGGATACTTGGAATTCTACCGAGGCCGGCGTCCTTCGTTGCGGGAAATGTCGAGGCTGCACATGTGTGGACTCCGCGGTCTTAAAATCCCCACAATGCTTTGCGCACGGACCAATTTCCAAATCTTTGGCGGAAGTCGCGTTCCATTTAAGGCGGGGCCTCGCATATGACGCACACCTGCACACCTGTTAGCCTGTTCCACAATTCTTCGCTTTCCGAGGCTAGGAAGGATTCTTGCCTCGCTTCTGAAGGAACTGACTTGGAGGTACATGTGCTACCAAGCAAGCCTCCTCGACATTGAGAAACACCCTCTGTCTGTTACTTTAGATGAAAATAAGGAGCCACTCCCCACGCCCCTCTGAGAGATATTTGGTTAAAAAGAACACAATGGTGCTCTAGGAGGAGATTCAGGTGATAAGGTGGGGGGGGGGGTTACCTTGGTTGGTGATTGGCTAATGGTTACACAAGCCAACAAATCGTTATGACATCATAAAGTGGCCAAAATCTGATCAGCTCATTTTCAGACAGGTTTTTATATAAATGGATCAGGACAAAAAGTGAGAGAATATTTTTTCCTGAAACTTTCAGAATCTCTTTACACAGAGGGGACACATGTTGATGTCGAAGAGACATGAAGAAGAGGGGACACATGTTGATGTAGAAGAGACATGAAGAAGTGCATTTTGCATAATAGGTGACCTTTAAGTCCAATAATTGAGGACTGCTTTAATTTGAAATATTCAACAATACATTATGCAATTTTTAACACTTTGTTATTCCAAATACTCACAAAGTAAAGGATAATTTACTTAATCAGACCTAGGATATAATACTAACATGCCCACATATTCAAATGTTGTTTACTGCTGCAGCTTCTACTACTCCTGACACCTGACCACTTTATAACACATTTCTCCTCCGCTCCGATAAGCGACATTTGAACACCTGCCTGCTTTGAGCGCACCTGCTGTCCCTGATGATTGATCATGATTTTTATAGCTTGCCCTACATGTCTCAAATAATGCATTGCAGGAAGAGTAACTAACCTCAACAACAACAACAACCATGTCACATGTATTGAGGGAAGAGGATCAGCTATTTATGTCAAAGGGAGAGAAATCACCAGCATGATCGTTTTGAAAGAGCAACAGCAACTCATCACAGAGGTTTGTGTTAAAACACAAAGGAATACGAAGTGCTTTAAAGGAGACAGAGATGCATTAAAACATCTCCTAAAACACAAGAAGGAACGTAAATCAGGCTTGGTAGGTTGCCTTAAGAAATAAAGATAATTTAAACTGCACCATTTTATTAGGCCCATTCATTCTCAAATACCAGCTTCTGATGGATCAGGACAAAAAGAGAGAGAATGTTTGTTCCTGAAACTTTCAGAGTCTCTTTCCACATGTTGATGTAGAAAAGACATGAAAAAGTGGATTTTGCATAATAGGTGACCTTTAACAAAAACTAAAAAAGAGGAATATTTTACTTGGAGGGAAGCAATGACTTTTAAACATTCAAACCAAAGAAATACGCATAGTTAAAAAGGGTTAGTTGTACATACAATGAGTTGAGTTACTGCAGGGGGAAACCTTTAGTATTTTTACATTCAACAGTACTGCCTTACAGTTAATACAATTGTGTCAATCTTTAATATTATGGCAAGTGCCAGTTTCTCTATTAAAAACCAACTCATTGCCTTCATACTGCTTCTTTCTAAGGATTCAGCCGAGTCATCTTAAGAAAGTCTTCTCTTCAGCATTGTGCTGAAGTTCACATGCAGGCCTCAGGCAAGAGACTCAATTGCCGAAACAGAAGAACAAATATGATCTCTCTCTCTCTTTGACTTTCTTACCCTACATCCACATAATGTAACTATGTTCCTTTATGTTCCCTATGCTCACCGTCTGCACCCTTACTTTGGGGTTTTTTCACCGTGCGACCCAAAAATGACACCATGCTCGACAGCTTGAAGGATAGATCCATAAACCATGTTTGAACTTCACAGTTCTCGCAGCTTGAGTTTTTTCTCATTCAACTTTAATGTGGAATATAAAGGTATTGATTTAGTGTGCCAAATCCTAGGAGGAATATGGTTTTCAAAGTGAAATAAAGAGACATTACAATGCTTATCAAAAATAAAAAGGTCAAATAACAGTATTTAGTAGTTGGATGTATTTCTTACCTTCTACCTTTTAATGTAGCTGAAGTTAATGACACATACTTTTATTCTCTGGTACATTAATACATGCCTGAAAATGTGGTGAGCCTTACATTTTCAGGACAGGTATTTGGGTGTTTGATTACCAGGCTGGAGTGTTTTCACCAGGAGGTGCCAAAGATTAAGGCCAAACATTTTAGGTTCTGAAAAAAACTGTGAACTAAAGCGGATTTTTGGTTTGATTTGAAAAAGAAACATATTCTGTATATTACTAATGCATAAAAGTGTCTTTAAACAGAAATGGGCAGTGGAGGTTATCACTGTTTCTCATTGAAAGATGAAAGCTAAAGCTAGTATTAGTCATTTTGAGTGCTGTGCTCAAACACACTCTTTCTGCAATATGCTGTTGGCGTTTATATGGCACCATCCCTAAAATCTGTGCACATTATTGAAGCAGGTTTGACATTTCCTGATAATAATCTTTATTTGTATATCACCTTTTATACAACAAGTGCAGTCCAAAGTGCTTCACATTTCACAGATGTAATCACACAGAATACAGATACCAGTAAAAAAAACTGATGTTTCAGATTTGAGCTTTTCTACCATATGATCTTATGGAGAAAAAGTAACATGAGGGAAATGATGCATATGAAATAGCTTGTACTGTATTTGCCAGCTGCTATTAACACAGTCACTTTATTTGATTTGTTATGGATGCAGTGTTAAAATTGCAAGCCATAGGTTACAACATATTCCCAAATTATAGAAACCTCA